AAAAAAATAGTCTTTGCTAGCAAAGTTATTTGAAAAGTTATAATGTTAGCAAGCAAGCTACGGACATATACATAGCTTATTTAGCAAGTCACAAATACACAACAGTGGCAGTACAGATTAAACATTTCACAGGTTATATTCAGTGCTGCCATCTTGGATTGTTAATTCGAGGTTAGTGGGCTGCTCTAACTTTCTGAGTTGGAAATCCAAGAAGCAGACGAGGCATCCTAAACAAAAGCTCCGACTTATAAATTAATCTGGAAACCACTACGAATCCTATCCTACCCTATGAGATGTGAGATTGCAATTTGTAGGTACGCTAGCATTAGCAACACTTGCCAAAAGACAGCTCAGAAGCCGACTTGAACTCCAAAAATCAAACAATGCATCCATGAATTAACTGCCCTGCTGATGCTGACCTGAGTTTTCCCCTAATGGTCAAACATTATTAGGAAAAATTTCATTAGACAAAACTGACAAAAGCAGTTTTTTTAAATTACTTTGCTAGCTAGTAAAGTCTGTTTCTAACATTAGCCAATTATATATAATGTAATGTCTAAGACTAGTCAATACAAGCTTATAATCTAACTGAAGTAAAGTACAAGGTCATAGATGAAAGGCTTTACTAAAATAAAGTTAAGTTGAGTTTGTGTTGGAGTGTAATTTTCATGTTTACCTTTCCATCTTATTTTTATATTGTGCTGTAAAGCTTCCGTGATTATAAGTTAACCAATTCAAAATTTTGAGTTTGCTTGTAATACATGACAGCAGTAAGCTATAGTCCAAATGATGGCATAGAATCTGTTTTGCATTGTTTGTTATGGTAAAATGGGTATATGCTATATTCATTATTTTCTGTTCTTCTTGAGTTACCTGGCTGCTAAGCTGACCTCTTTTAAGGGCCCACTTGGTTCTTAAAATAGTTTGTTTATGTCAATTTGAATTTTTGTAATAGTTTTGTCTTTTTTGGGGTATAATAAAACCCATTTTTTGAAGATTACACCTGTGCCTGTGTGTTCTTGGCTTCTCGGTCCCTGATAGGAACCAATCTTTTGGTAACGTTAATGATAAGTGGACTCCATTTCTAAGCTAATGATAGCCAGTGTTCGTCATACTAACAAATGCTGACACCAGAATCGAAAGAAAGGAACTGAGGTAAGGCCTTTGGGAGCATAAATCCTTTTGGTTTCGGATTTTTGGAATAAAAGTGGTCCAGATACCTTCAGAAATCAGTCAGGTGATTGGAGGCAGCTGAGAGAGTCGGGGAAAGCCTCATTTTTGAAGTTACATTAAAGTCAGTTCATACATTGGGAATAAAAAGCAGAACCTGGACATTCGCCTCTCACATCTACATCATATTTCCATTTTATTGACTTTAGCGGACTATTTTAGAATTAGGAATTTTTATTGCCTATACTGGTTATAACCTTTTGTTATTGACCATTATTCTTTCCATCTTGGCCATTTATCCAAATAATTCAACGTCCATCTGCTAGCACTATTACTTTCAACTATCAGTTAATTAAAATTTCAACCACATGGTGCCAATGCAGTAACATTCATTGAAATTTAATTTCTGTACACCTGCTGTATCCTGAGGTACGCCCTCACCTGGTACTCCTGGTGGCTGAAGCTGCCTCCTTCTGGTCCCAGACCCAGCTTCTTTGCCGCCAGTCGGTGTGCATGGTGACGCAGGCAGGTGATGGTCATGGCCGCCACCAGGATGCCGCCGATGCAGGCCATGGCCACCAGCATTGCAAACACCCAGCGGGAGCGGGGCTGGACTCTGGTCGCCAAGGGCAAAGACTTCCCATTATTCTTCTGTAACAAGTGGGCAGAAAAAAGCCTAAATCAGCTTCCTTTTGTTAGCCTCTGACCACTCGTATCAGCAACAGTGAATACCTAGAGAACTGATTTTAAGATGAACGTAGATAAATGTGTAAATGCACTCACCTCTCCAACACCACTCTGCAGCACCTTCAAGCCCGTCTCAGACTCCAGGAAGTTCTTCTCTGCAACTGATTCAACCAACCAATCAACAATAAACCAAAGTTTAAAGATGCTCCCTCATCAGCTGGCTTTATAAACCTCTGTTAGTGTAAATGATGGAGAAACCAGATGATAATATGTTTTGGATAATAGCAGGAAAAAGTTCTTTCACCTGTGATGTTTGTGACACAAAACCACCTTTGCATCTTTCCTCCTTTTTAAGCTTCCTTTCGTCCAGTTTTGTCCTCTTCTTAGTTTCTTTACATTTAAAACCTTTTCATATGTTTTCTTGCATTCTTTCCTCTGTCAGTCCTTCTTTGTTTCACTGTCCTGAACACACTATACAGTTCCTACCTTCCTATTTTTCTTCCTTTGCTATTTTTTTCTTTTTCAATTAGTTTATTCTTCCTTACCATCCTTCCTTTCTCTTTTAATTGTTTTTCTTTCTACCTTATTTTTTCTTACATTTCTTCCTTCATATCTTTATTTTTCTTCAAGCCTGTCTTAATTCTTTCCTTTGCCTTTGATTCCTTCCTTTGTTCTTTTGTTCCCTTTCCTGTCTGATCTTCTTTTCTTTTACCTTTCTTCTTTTTCCTTTCCTTTGTCCTTCATTCTTAATTTTTTTCCCTTTCTTTCTTCCTTCCTCCTTCCTTCCTCACTTCCATTCTTCTCACCCTTTTCTTCCTCAGTTCCCTTCCTTATCATCCATCATTACTTAGTTCAATTCATCCTTTCTTCATTCCTTCATCCTTCCTTTTCATATTTCTCATCGCTTCCTTCCTTCAGTTTCTTTTCTTTTCCTTCACTTCTGCTTTTATTTTTTCCTTCGTTTGTCTTTCCTTACTCACTTTGTTTTTTGTTCCTTCACCTTTTCTGTCCTTCTTTCTTCCTTCCTACCATCCATCTTTCCTACATCCCTCCCTTCCTCAGTTTCTTTCTTCCTTTCATCCTACCTTACTTAGTTCTTTAATTTCATCCCTTATTCCTTCTGTCCTTCCATTTTGTTCTTCCTTTTTTGTTCTTTTTCCCTTCCTCCTTGCTTCCAACATTTCTTCTTTCTTATCTTTTCTTCCTTCCCTTCCTTCTTCCTTTCTTCTTTGCCCCTCCCCC